AGCCGCATATACCCGGGATCACCATTTTCAGCCACAGTCCACAACTGATGACAGTATGCGAGCATCGGGAGGACGACAGACCTTAGCACCCAGAGTTCACTCTTTAGACTCAGCTCTGCTTAGGTCATAACAGTTCACGCAGAACGCTACAGGCCATTCCAGTCCGCCGGTCGATCTGTTTCTCCCACCTTCCGTCGTCAGTAAACACGACCTAGAGGTGCTTGAATTCCTCCACCTGCTCCACCGCTTCACTGTTTATCTCAAGAGAACAACGAGCAGGAGAACGAAAAACACTAGGCTTAACATTTCAGATACGTTCTCATGCATGTGGGCCACGTCATACGTGGCTGCGAATCTTTACGGTGGGCACAGTTCAGTTTCAGAAGATACCAACGAAATAAGGTCGTCTGCAAACAGTAACTCTCTCGTCTCTACATCCCTTAGACCGATACACTCATCACCTTTGCTGCTTCTGACTATTCTATCCATGTACAACACAAACAGGAGAGGGGACAGGGCGCAGCCTTGACGGAGACCAGTATCAACCTTAAAAGTCTTTGACTTAACGCCATTTACTCTGATGCACCACTTTCTATTAGCAAAGAGTGACTGCATGAATGACCTTAACAACTGGCCATTGATTCTATATGTTCGCAAGCACATGCCCGGATGCTGCGAGGAATCCCGTCATAGGTTTTTTCTAGATCCAGAAAATACATATTAACCAAATGAGCGAACTCGTACGATTTCTCAACAATGTAGCGTAGGACGAATATCTGGTCAGACGTGCTTCGGCCAGACAGGAAATCACAGCTCTTTTTGCATTTCGGAGTCAGTTATTCCAAGGCACTTTCTTACTAGCGCTTGTGCGTAGACTTCCCCGCGAGGCTCAGTAAGATAACGCCACGATAATTAGAGAACTCCAAATAGTTTCCCATCTTGAACAGGGATTCTACAAACCCCGTTCTCGAGTCCACTATTGTCTTCCCCGACGCCACTGCAGTTTGACAGATACGCGTAACGCAGCACATGCACTATTCACCTAAAGTTTTAAGTATTCCAGGGCAGATTTAATCAATTAAAGCAGAATTTCCACTTTTCAAGCCTTTTATATTTCGTGTGATTTCATTTACAAAGACACTAATAACCTTTCCACGCTGGTCTTCAGGCGAGGCTTCCTGCAGCTGCTCATGGTTAAGGAGATCCTCAAAGTACTCCCGCCATCGCGGAAGAATTTCCTCATTATCGGTAAGAGGGTGTCCAGACCTGTCCTTCAAGACTCTTAGACTAACCTTCTTCTCACCTCGGAGACAGCGGATGGCCTGTCAGAATACCTTGTTTGCCGTTTGGAAATTCGACTCCATCACCCCAGATAACTTCTCCCTGAAATTAACTTCGGCTTTTGTCACTGCTTTCGCTGCCGTCGTCTGCGCTTTCAAGCCCTCTCCTGAAAGTACCCTTCTTCTCTTTAATTGCCAGTTGTATCTCTAGTTCCACCAGGAAGTTTGTTTCTGACCTTCAGGCGGAAAGCCAATCCGTCTGAAACCGCGGCATTCGGCGGCAGCCATGAGCACACCGCCCTTAAGGAGTCCCCACTCAGTTTCTGTATCAGCGGTCATCACTGGGATCTGTTCAAACCGTCGTGCGCTGTTGGTTGCAAATTTTGCTATCGTATCCGCCCAAGAAAATGCTTCCCACTTGATTCTCTGGTTGCTTCTGCCACCAGATCATCGCGTGGTACTCCATTTCTCACAGCTAATGTCCCAACAACAAGGTGGTCAGTTTACAGTTCTGCGCCTCCATTAAAGTGAACATCCATCAGAGCGTCATCAGATGATACCATTATCAAATCGACTTTTTGGAACAGGCTTCCCTGCACAAGGTACACCGATAAATGCTTCGATGCTCGAAGAAAATCTTCCTAATAGACAGTCCGCTGTTTGCAGAAAACCGCAACAACTTCATGCCGTTATTATTGAGGTCGCCCAGGTTATTCTTTCCGATTACGCCTTTTCACTTTTTAATGTCTGCTCTGATATGAGCATTGCAATCGCCCATTAGAACAAGGAACTCCGTAGCCGGCACTTCGTAGAGAGCACTTTCTACTTCCTGAAGGAAAGACTCACCAGACTGGGCGCAGAAACCTATATCAAGGTCAAAGCTCTAGCCAGTTGTAGCTCCGGAAGACGGGATTGCCACTCTTACATTGACAGACTTCCATTCAATAACTGTCAGCCGTCAGCCGGGTTGGGTTC